CTCATGGCATTTCTTTTCTTCCCCCCGCCCCAGCCTCTTGCTCTCACTCCCCGTCCCCCTTCTTTTCTTTGTGCCTTTCCTCTCTGTATGTTCTCTCCCTCTTCACATTGCTTCCCTTGCCTCCTCCCATCCCACCAGCCCTGATTTTGCCCACACTCCACGCCCTTTCACATGATGAGCTAAAATAGTGATGCTTTTCCTATCATAAGCATGCTAGGTTTTATTGCATGTTAGAAATAGGGCTAGTTGTTGGTGTTTCACCATGACCATGTTATGGATTGAATCATGTCCCCCAAAAACATGTGTCAACTTGGCTAGGTCATGATTCCCAGTAGTGTGTGGTTGTCCTCCAATTTGTGACCTGATGTTATTATACTGTGTGTTGTAAATCCTACCCTCTGTGATGTTAATGAGGCAGGATTACAGGCAGTTATATTAATGAAGCAGGACACAATCTGCAAGATTAGGTTGTATCTTGAGTCAATCTCTTTTGAGATATAAAAGGCAGAAAGAGAGCTGAGACGAAAAGGACCTCAGTACCACCAAGCAAGAGAAGCCAGGAGTGGAGCATGTCCTTTGGACTCAGGGCCCCTGTGCTGACAAGCTCCTAGACCAGGGGAAGACTGATTACAAGGACCTTCCCCCAGAGTCAATAGTAAGAGAAAGACTTCCCCTGGAGCTGCACCTTGAATTCAGACTTCTAGCCTCTTAAACTGTGAGAGAATAAATTTCTCTTTGTTAAAGCCATCCACTTGTGGTATGTCTGTTATAGCAGTACTAGATAACTAAGACAGAATTTGGTATCAGGAGTGGGGTGCTGCTCTAACAGATACCTAAAATGTGGAAGTGGTTTTGAAACTGTGAATGGGTAGAGGCTGGAAGAGCTTTAAAATGCCTAATAGTAAAAGCCTAGACTGCCTTGAAGAGACTGTTAGCAGAATTATGGATGTCAAAGACAATTCTGCTGAGAGCTCAGAAGGAAGTGAGGAGAGTTGTAACACCGAAGACGGTACAGATGGCGAGGAGCAGCAGCAGAGAAATAGCAGCAGCAGAACCAGAAGACTACACAATACGGCTGGAAGCCAACCCACGGAGTGAGAGAGCTGAGTGCCTTCAGGCAGAGGCTTACTGGTGAAGTGGGGTGCCTCTGGGCACTTATCCGTAGCACTAAAGAGCTTCGTAACACTTGCCCGAGCAGGGCAGAGGCTGGGCCGGCCCAAGAGGGTCAAGGGTCTGAGAGGCCAAGGAACCAGGAAACAGAAGCTGAAGAGACAAGGGTGGAGCCATGGCCTGCTGGGTCTCAAAGGGTGGGATCTCGGCATCCTAGGTTTCAGAGAGTTAGATCTTCACCAGCTCAGGACTGTGATGCTGCCATTCTCAAGTGCCAGGAGGATGGGGCCAGATTCACTGCCCAAAGCTGAGGAGGTGGGGCTGCCATGCCCAAGGGGCAGAAGAACAGGGCCTGCCAGAGTACTGTTGCCACTCAAATAGACTAGGAGAATTAGGTCACCCAAATCCAAAGGAGCAGAGTTGTCATCTCAGTGGGTCTGCAAGGCAGAGCTAAAGCCCAGGGCCTAGGGGCCTCCACCCAGAATCCAGAAAGTGTGGCCAACACCCAGAGTCTGGGGGGCAGGGCCATTGCCTAAACAGTCTCTGAGAACAGAGAATTAGTTTCAAGGCTTAAGAGCTAATGTAATGTGTTCTGCTGGGTTTTGGACTTGCTTGGTGCCTGTTAACCCTTCCTTCTCTCCAATTTCTCCCATTTGTAATGGAAATGTCTATCTTGCACCTATTCTACCATTGTACTTTGGAAGCAGATAACTTGTATTCTAGATTTCACAGATGAAGAATTTTGTCCCAGGATAGAATTTGGACTTTGAGTTGATTTAAGACTTTTGGGATGATATGATGTGGTGAATGTGCTTTACATGTGGCAAGGGCATGTACTTTGGGGGGGGCCAAAGGGTGGGATGTTATAGATTGAACTGTGTCCCCCAAAAATGTGTGTCAGCTTGGCTAGGCCATAATTCCCAGTATTAGGTGTGGTTGTTCTCCATTTGGTGACCTGATATTATTATACTATGTGTTGTAAATCCTTTCCTCTATGATGTTAATGGGGAGCCCTGGTGGCTCAGTGGTTAAGAGTTTGGCTGCTAACCAAATGGTCACCAGTTTAAATCCACCAGCCACTCCTTGGAAACCCTATGAGGCAGTTCTACTCTGTCCTATAGGGTCTCCATGAGTTGGAATCTACTGACGGCAGTGAGTTTGGTTTGATGATGTTAGTGAGGCAGGATTAGAGGCAGTTATGTTAATGAGGCAGGACACAAAATAGAAGATTAGGTTGCATCTTGAGTCAACCTCTTTTGCGACATAAAAGAGAGGAGTAGAGAGGAGAGGGACCTTAGTACCACCAAGCAAGAGGAGCTAGGAGCAGAGTGTATCTTTTGGACCCAGAGTCCCTCTGCTGAGAAGCTCCTAGGCCAGGGGAAGATTGATGACGAGAACCTTCCCCCAGAGCCGACAGAGACAGAAAGCCTTCCCCTGGAGCTAGTGCCCTGAATTCGGATTTCTACACTGCTGAACTGTGAGGAAATAAACTTTTGTTTTTTAAAGCCATCCACTTGTGTTATTTCTGTTATAGCAGCACTAGATAACTAAGATACCATATAAAGCTATATAAAAATTTTAAATTCAGACATGATATGTATCAAAAGCCAGTTTCTATTTGCACAATCTCCTCCAATCCCCCAAGTTTGGGGCTCAAGACCATCCAGAGAGCCTTGGGGAGGGAGTGGCTTCCAAATGAATATGAATTGGGGGTGGGGGTCTCCCAAAATCAGCATGCTAGTCTCCAGTAGAAAGAAGGGAAAATAGAAAACACTGAAACAGCATATGAGATAGAAATCTTCCCTCGGCCTGGCTAAATTAACCTAGTAGGCCCAGCATTCCACTCAGCTTCTAAGGTCACCTGTGTAGGTTTGAAAATAGTATACTTTCCATTTTACATAGAAAACAAAGCCAAAAAAAAAAGGTTTTCAATCAAATTGTAACTGCTTCTTCTAAGAAATGGGAAAAAGATTTTATCATCGATAATACTGGGAAAAGGAAAACTGAGAGGAAGGTATAACGGGCAGCCGAGGAACTGGGACCCAGCAGATACCTGTATACTAGTGCCCACCCGCAGAGAAAGAAGCCCTGGTGGTGCAGTGGTTAGGAGCGTGGCTGCTAACTAAAAGGGTAGTTAGAACCCCCTAGCTGTACCATGGGAGAAAGATGTGGCATTCTGCTTCTACAAATATTAAACCTGTTGCTGTTGAGTCGATTCTGACTCATAGTGACCCTGTAGGACAGAGTAGAACTGTCTCATAGGGTTTCCACTGCCCTATATGGAAGTTCTACTCCATCCTACAGGGTTGCTGTGAGTCGGAATTGACTGGACAGCACACAACAACCCACAGAGAACAGGTACTCCCACTCCACGAGAACGCAATCACCAGGGCTCTGGGAACTTCTAGAAGGAAGATATAGCCTAAAACGAGAATTGTTCTCTTCACGAAGCAAAACCGAGCTGAGTGCTCCTAAAGTACAGTGGAGTCTAATGACTTGAGAAGCAGGTAATGTGAGACACAAGGCCAGGGGAGGTGACAGTCTCACCAATGGAGGGAGGGGGCAGTAAATATAGGGATGAGGAACAGCCTCTGCAGGGCTGACCATGTGCTCTGCAGGGACCCTGGAAAGCTAAGTTGATTCTGTGACCTATTAAGTTGGGTTCAAATTCCAAATCCAGGCCCTCAGGGCCAACCCTCATCCATCTGATCCTGTTGCTCACTGCTCTAGGCACTTTGATTTCCTTCACAACCCCCGCCACCCCTGCTCCCAAGAGCTGAACCCACTCTAGTCATCTGCATTTGCACCCACTCAGGACAGAATCTCTTCTTACTTGGTCTTCCAAACTCTCCCTCCAACCAAGTCTCTAATGGCCCAACCTGAGAACCCAGAGAACAATGCAAGGCCTCGCCCAGCTTTGGGCACCTCTTTAGTGACAAGGCAGGTCTGCTTCCCTGAGACAGCACTTCTGAGAGTGTGGGGGCCTCATTCAAGGCATAGCTGGCTGAAGCACGGCCAACCAAAGCATGGTCAGGCCAACTCTCACCAAGGCCTATAGAGGAAATTAGATAGATTCTCATAACCAAGCACTAGTTTCCTCATTTATAAAACGGGAATAACATTATTTACCTTATAGTGGTCTCATGAAGATTGAATGAGATAATGCTTGTAAAACACCTAGTCTGTCACCTGGTAAATCCATAACAAACACTGGTTACTATTATAATTCCTGGTCTAGCCGAAAAGCATGCTCAAGTTCTTTCGTCTATGTATAGGAAGGTTGTTGTTAGATGCTGTTGAGTCGATTTCCACTCATAGCAACTGCATGCGACAGAGCAGAACTGCCCCCATAGGGTTTTCTAGGCGATAATCTTTACGGGAGTAGACTGTCAGGTTTATCCTGCGGATCCGCTGGGTGCTTCTAACTGTCAACCTTTTGGTTAGCAGCCGAGTGATTAACCATTGCACCACAGGGCACCTTACATATAGGAATACATATATACGTAAGTACAGCATATAAATATGTACTTAAGTAGCTGAACCCATATGAAGATGAAATACAGCAAGCAAGATTAATACTATATCTATGGTATAATGTTTTAATTAAAGATTAAAAACCAAATGTGCCAAAGGCATTTGATTAAAGCTTGAAAGAAGAAAAAAATGGAAATGCATTGAAATCCATAAGCTACTAGTAATTTACATGTATTTTAAAATCTATAAGGTAGAAGTCCTCATTGGTACTGTGTGAAGCCTTGAGTAAAACTAAATATGATTTCTTCTGCAAAACTGTTCTCAGAGAGGATGACAAAAAAGAAGGTGTATGATTGCATACTGAATAAAATATTCAATGCAAACAGAATACGTATTTAATCATAACTTTCTCTTACCTTTGACCCAATGAGGGTATAAAGCCACTGAATGGTTTCATTGTGGTTTATTACTCCATTCATCCCATCCACATACAACATAATCTGGCCCAAAGCTACAGAAAAGAAAGAAACAAGGAGACATTATGGTTTTATGGATAAATATAATCTTCAACAATCATAATGTCCATCAAGATTTTGAGACCTTAAGTATACAGCATGTTAACAATCAAATCTGAAGAGAATTCCTGAGCTCTGAAATTAGCTAAATGTTATTTCAGAGAGAAAAGTGTTGACCACACCAGAAGAAATAAGAGCTATTCCTAGTGTCTGTAGGATGCAATTTAGGCACCAAACCCAGTGATTATTGTTTCTTTGTGTCTTGATGTACAAATGCATGTTTTCAGGTTTCTATGTCCGTGTGTAGTCCCAGACAGGGGTGAAGATACCTGTGAGATGGTGTCTGGGTTGTGGACTGTTGCTGGGGCCAGGAAGACACATGAAATTTCCAACAGCAACCAGTCTAGTGCCCTAGCTGATGGTCAAGCAGGCCCCAGAGTCTATTGGATCATCCTGAGCTAATTCCTTTCAATAAGAGATAAATATGAACTTAAGTATTATTTGTAGTACCTTTTAAAGGTTTTCAGATAAAAATATCAGAAATCATGAAAAAAAAAATCATTTGTCAGACACCAAGTCCTAAACTTTTAGTTTAGGAAAATATAGTTACAACGTAAGTTGTCTTTATTCTCCAAAAAGAAATATAAAAGCCATGTTTTGTTTTGTTTTTAACAAACAGGAACTCAATTTTTAAGCTCCCTTAGCATCAAAATGAGGAGCCCTGGTGGCACAATGGTTAAGCGCTTGGCTGCTAACTGAAAGGTTGGCTGTTTGAACCCACCAGAGGCTCCACAGGAGAAAACACCTCGTGATCTGCTCCCATAAAGATTATAGCCTAGGAAACCCTATGAGGCAGTTCTATTCTGTTACATTGAGTTGCTATGTGTCGGGATTGACTTGATGGCACCTAACAACAACAAAGAGCATCCAAATAGATTACAGTGTAGGTAACAAACATAGAAGTTAAAAAATCAATTGCTGTTGAGCCAATTCCAACTCATAATGACCCTGCAGGACAAAGCAGAACTGCCCTCATAGGTTTCCTAGACTGTAATCTTTACAGAAGCAGACTGCCACATCTTTCTCCCTCAGAGAGGCTGGTGGGTTAAAACCAACAACTTCTCAGTTAGCAGTTGAGTACTTTAACCACTGTACCACCAAGGCTCCTTTATGTACCTTAAATAAGTAGGTTTTCTTAAATCATGTCTGACCTCCTAACTCATAATTAATTGGTCTGGCATTGATATTTTTTAGGCAACATATTTTTTTTTTTCTGGTAACAGAAAATCTCATTTAGAAAATTGGAAAATACAGAAGAGTATTTTTAAATGAAAATAATTCATAACCCCATTATTTAAGGATAATCATTCTTGATATACTGATATATTTTCTTTCTTTTTTATGCATTACACACATAGAGTTTGGGTAGTTTGTAGAAACCAGTCTGTATGAAATGGTGTTGATTGAAAAGAGCAAAACACAAAATAGTGAGAATACACTATTTGTTGTTGTTAGGTGCCACTGAGTCGGTTCTGACTCATAGCCACCCTATATACAACAGGACGAAACACTGCCTGGTCCCTACGCCACCCTTACAATCGCTACTATGCTTGAGCCCACTGTTGCAGCCACTCTGTTTCTGAGTGCCTTCCAACCTGAGGGGCTCATCTTCTGGCACTGTATCAGACAATGTTCCACTGCTATTTATAAGGTTTTCACTGGCCAATTTTTTCTGAAGTAGACCTCCAGGTCCTTCTTCCTAATCTGTCTTAGTTTGCAAGCTCCACTGAAACTTGTCCACCATGGGTGACCCTGCTGGTATTTGAAATACCAGTGGCCTAGCTTCCAACATCACAGCAACATGCAAGCCACCACAGTAAGACCAACTGACAGATGGGTGGTGGATACACTAATTACAAGTATATAAATATATATGTGATATTAGAAAACCCATTATCATACCTTAAAATAAAAGATCAAATAATAAAACCACAAAATCATTCTGAGAAAAATTATGCTCCTAAATAGTAAAACCTCTAAATTTAAAGAAATTGGGCATACCCTTTACATGATAAACAGCACATGAACAGCACTTTTTTTAAATAAAAAAATTCATACTCTATTTAATGGTGAAATGCTGGAGATATTCCTATTAAAATCAGGAATAACAATTTTAAAATGATGTCCATTAATCTCATTATTATTTAACACTGCTATGGAATTTTGGGCCATTTTAATAAAACAAAAAATAGTGAGAGATAGAATGGTTGAAAATGAATAGTTAATATCATTTACAAGTGATATTATAGTCTCAATAAAAAATTCACACACAGAATTTGTAATGAAAAGAGGATCACAATTTTAACCTTAATTATGTTTCATCTTAATGAGAAATATGTGTACACCATGTAAAAAAACTACCAAAGTTTGATATAAAAATACAATACTAGATAAATGGGCATGTAATAGCAAATATGATAAAGAACTAAATTACTTAATACAGAAATACTCCTACTCTTCACTTACCGACTATCTCATTATCCAACATTTCACGTTTATGACAATAGTAAAAAATCTGCTACCCAACTATTTTGCACATTAACGATGTATGTCTGACGGTAAAGAATGCCCAGGTGCAAGGCAAGATTAACACTTGCTGTGATGGTTAAGGTTATGTGTCATCTTGGCTGGGCTATAATTCTCAGTGCTTTGGCAGTTATGTAATGATGTAATTTGGCAGTTATGTAATGATGCAGTCATCCTCCATTTTGGATCTGATGTGGTCATCCTCCATGTCTGTATAATGCCAATTTTGCATAATGACCTGGTCTTTGGAACCTAACCATGTCAGTAAGTGAGGAGTGGGCGTAGTTCATATAAACTGATAAGAAAATATTAATGCCAAAAAAAAGAGCTAAAAGTATTTCATAAAGGAGACGACAGGCTGGTTTACAACTACATGTAAAATTGTTCATTGTCACTTATAACAAAAGAAATGTAAATTAAAACAATAATGGTAGCATTTTCACCTAAACTGCCAAAGGTGTTTTAAAAAGAAATGATTAGTATCACACACTGGGGGCGGGGGTTAAACAAGAATCTTCATACATTACTGGTGGCAGTGCAAATTAATACAAACCCTTAATAAAGTTATTTTGTGCTGCAATTAATTGTTACCATTTATTTAGTGCCCACTGTGTGCCACGCCCTAAAAGAGGGACTTTATAGGTGTTATTACTACTCACGACAGCCCTATGGGCAGGCTCTTAAGTGTCTATAATAAGAACCTGAAAATCAGCTTTAAGCTTGGCCCTAGTCATTGTGATTTGGGAAATCTAACCTAAGGAAATTACCCTAAATTAAAAAATAAAGATGTCCACAGAAGTGTCATTTATAATATCAAAATATTAACTAAAACTAAATACCTATCATAGTTATATAACTCAGAATACACAGTAATTTATAAAAGCAACATCCTAAGCTATGAAATGCTCCTGATAAAATAATTAAAAACTAAGTATAAAATTATAAATATCACATAATTCAATAAAACACACAAATCTTGCTGCACAGAAGGAAAGAAAACCCCATAAAATATTAAATGTTATGATTAGGTGTATGTTGTTCAGATGTATTTTTCCTATTTTCCATTAACTATGTCTGTAATGGAAAGTCAACAAATATATCAAGAGGAGCAGAAGTAAGACTGTATAATGTAGAGTACTGGGTCCTCTTCTTTGTTTTTAGAATTTTTACTAGCTCATCAGTGGACATCAAGAGGGGGAGCCAGGATACCCCTCTCTCCTTCAGAGAGACATACCCCCCATGGAAGTACTTGGAGTTCAGCACATTCTGCTCCATTTTTCCCTTTTACTCCTTTATCTCCTCCTCTCCCAAAGCAAAATGGCATATCTCCAGGGAAGGAGAGCTCACATCACAGTCCTTTTCCCAATCCTAAATTCCAGTTCTGAGGCACATTTTAACATCTTCCTCCATATCAGCCTAACAGCATAGGGGCGAGATGGTGTAGACGCTTCAGTCTTCTGGAAGGTGTACCTCCCTCTAGGCTGAGAAGGCAGAAATGAACGTCTCTACCCTAACTGCTAAGGCCTCCGGTACTGCAGAAATGCACAGAAAACCAGGCAACTGTTAGAAAAGGGGAAGGCACATCAAGAATTAAGAACCAAAGTGACTTTCTATAAACTTTCCATGATCTATTCCCCTCCTCAGTTCTACAATCTGATCACACTGGAAGAGGTAAGTCGCCAGAAAGTTAATGTCTAACTGACATAGCAATGTCTAATAAACATATACCATGACCCTAATACCAAAGCAATCCTTCCTGTAAAACCCACTCAGGACACAAGATGGCGCTAAATAGATTCAAGTGGGTTAATAATGCACTACGATTAAACAGCAAAAAGCCTAAAAGTGGGCCTGCGAGTGAAAAATCACACAGGAAAAAAAAGTAGATGGCCTGAAAACACGTGTGTCTGGGTCACAGGTGCCAAGAAAATTAGTGATTCGCATTTTGATGATGAGTGAGGAGGCTGAGACTGTTAGAACAGTTGTTGTTAGCTGCCGACTAGTCAATTTCTCACTCATTGCGACCCCCTGTGACAGAGTAGAACTGCCCCACGGAGTTTTCTAGGCTGTAATCTTTATAGAGAGAGTCTCTATGAGTTGGAGTGACTTGATGGCAATCGGTCTGGTTTTTGATCTTCACAGAGGGAGCCCTAGTGGCGCAAACAGTTGAGTGCCCGACTGCTAACAGAAAGGTTGGCGGTTCGAACCCACCCAGTGTCTCCGTGGGAGAAAGACCTGGCAATTGACTTCCATAAAAACTGCAGCCAAGAAAACTCTATGGGATTCTACTCTGTCACATGGGGTTGCTATGAGTCAAAATCAACTCGACAACACCTAATAACAACATACTTGCGTGGGTCTATTTCTAGATTCTCCACTGATCCACTTGCCTATTCTTTTGTCAGTACTA